GTATGTAGTATTACGTTATAGTCGGTATGTAGTATTACGTTATAGTCGGTATGTAGTATTACGTTATAGTCGGTATGTAGTATTACGTTATAGTCGGTATGTAGTATTAGGTTCTAGTGAGTATGTAGTATTACGTTATAGTCGGTATGTAGTATTAGGTTCTAGTGGGTATGTAGTCAGTTCTACCGATATTCGCATCGCACACACCTACCTTCTGCTCCATCGTAGATCACAGTAAAGTTCTTCCACTGCCAGCTACTGATCAGCTCTGTGTAGACGTTGCTGAGCGTGTCCTGGTCCGGGTAGAGACGTATGGAGTACTCCTCTCCTCGGACACCGTAGCTGAGCTCCGTGGATAGGTGGGGCATCTCCATAGTGTCGCAGATCGACCGCACGAGGGCGCTCGATGAGAGCGACTGCGGACCGAACATGGCGACCACGCCCATCTTGAGAATCTTGCAGGCTGCGTAGATAACAACGACACGCGTGCGGTAGCCTCATCCATCACAGACGCATACCGACTGTTATCTATATACTAACAGTGTTTAGTTAGTATATAGAGATCTGTAGGTGTAAGCTTTGCCCCCACACGCTCCCCCATACGCCCCCACACGTACGCGCGCGCACACACGAACACACACACACACGAACACACACACACACACACACACACACACACACACTCACTCATATACACATGCGCGCGTGCGCACACACACACACACACATACACACACACACACACACACACACACACACACACACACACACACACACATACGTGCAGATTTCTAGCCATTCTAACATCATATTAGACTAAACTAAACCTGTTCTATATAATTTGACTCTATAAGCCGCTCTTTGTACGTCAATCATTACCGGAATATCTTTAGTATCGTTCGACAACGAGGCCGGTAGGTGGCCGCCAGATATTGCGACTTGAAACAACCCCCCTGCGGGCAGCCATTACGCGGAGGTCTGAGTGTCGAGTGTTCGGCTGTATATAGTTACAAGCGGGCGGAATAAGCGAGTAGAGTAGAACACCCACGATCACGTGACTGCGTGGCCGCTCGCCAATATCTTCCGTTTATTGCCCTCATGCACAATGTAAGACAAGGGTGAACGATTACCCCGCGGCGGGATGTATAGCATAGCATGCTACAGTTGCGCCCCCTACCTTTCTGCGAGGCTACAAAGCTGTCTCCGGCGATGCTGGTGTCGACGATAGGCACGAACGTGAACATGGTGTTGCTGAGGCTGGCATGCTGAGTAGCAATCTTGAACACCTCTATCATCGTCTCATCCCCGTTATCAAACAACGCACCTGTAGATGTAGACAGATGCGCAATGACGTCACGTTCAGTGTAGCCCATAAACAATGACGTCATGTCTAACATGACCAATAAATAATGACGTCACGTCTTACATGACCCATAAACAATGTTGTCACTCCCGATATGACTCATAAACAGTAACGTCATGTCCGATGTAACCCATAAGCAATGACGTCATGCCAAAAATTATACATAAACAATGGCGTCATGCCCGATATGACTCATAAACAATGACGTTATTAGTTACATGACACGGTTAACGTTGTGTGGAGTAATATAGTAATATATAATTATATAACATATTAGAAAACATTGTGGGATTGTAACATTGTATATTGTGTCAAACAATGTGTCTAATGAGAAAAAAATAATCTCGCGTGATAGACCTTTTCACTTTCCGACGATTGCCGAACAATGACGAATTTTACCGAAACGTCTGCCGATATCACATCGATTCTTCAAGATCACATTCCGAACATGTTACGGCAAGATATACCCAGATGAAAACCTCGAAACGCACGTCAGGCGCACACTAATGCAAGCAGCGTGACCCTTGACTTTTCTACTAATCGAACGTCTTCTCCCTAAGCGCCCCTTCTCCCATCAAGACTTATTCCTGGAACTCGCTTCATCCTCGGTACACCATACATCGTTCTTACACGAACGCCAATCGACCTTCGAGGCCCACGCCTGACTGTGCAATCACGCTCTCCGTAAGAAATATCTATACACACGGACGAGATATATCCCGTAAAGCCGATGAAATGGAAATTTCCATTTTCATCCTGCGTTGACTTTTTGGCGGGATTGGGTTTACGGTGAACTCCGCCTCCTACCGATTTGTAGATCCGAGTCCCGATGGAAGAAGGCTGCACTCATGCAAAACGGGAAATTAAGTTTTGGAAAAGCCAACAGGAAATTAAATGGTAACGAATTAATAATGTTTAGTTAGTTTTAAACTCAATCTATTTTTAACTCAATTACATTAATATATTGTATTGGAACGAAAACCGAATAATGGAATGGTGAGATTGAAGTTGTGTATGTTTTTAATTATTCGATGCAACGAGCGTCTAGAGATATTGAATGAATTACGATGCGTCCAGCGATTATATACTGCCTTACTAAACAGAGCGAAAGCGCAATATATATATATAGAGAAAGATAGATGGATATATATATATAGAGAGAGAGATAGATAGATATATATATATGTATATATATACATGGATAGATAGATAGCTCGATAGGTAGATATATATATATATATAGATAGATAGATAGATAGATAGATAGATAGATAGATAGATAGACAGACAGATAGAGAGATAGACAAATATATATATATATATAGATAGATAGCGAGATAGATAGATAGATAGATAGATAGACAGACAGATAGAGAGATAGACAAATATATATATATATATAGATAGATAGCGAGATAGATAGATAGATAGATAGATAGACAGACAGATAGAGAGATAGACAAATATATATATATATATAGATAGATAGCGAGATAGATAGATAGGTAGCGAGATAGA